GAGGTGAACTAATTTGTACAGAGTCACTGGGTATGAGGCTGAGTTGTGATTTTAACTGGAACCATCTACCTGCAGATCCTTACTCCTTTTTTTAATTTTTAATTTTTTAAGATTTTATTTATTGATTCATGAGAGACACAGAAAGAGGCGGAGACTTAGGCGGGAGGGAGGAGGGAGAAGCAGGCTCCGTCTGAGCTTGATATGGGACTCCATTCCAGGAACCCAGGATCACCACCTGAACCAAAGGCAGATGCTCAACTGTTGAGGCACCCAGGTGTCCCCAGATCCTTACTCCTAACTACTCAGCTGTCCTGCCTTCCTGTGAAGGAAGATTTTAGAATTTCTTCCCTTTGATCCTGAAGCTAATTTCTTTTCAGGGGGTGGTTTAGAGCAGTCATGGGAAGTACAGCATCAGAGGACAAAAGTCTCCAGAGAGAGGATCTGAAGTTTGAAAATGTCCCTAAGTGTCTTGATTATGCCTGCCTTTGTACCCCAAAGTGCAAACCTCTTCCTCAGGACATCCAGCCTGGATTATAGGGCCATAGCATGATGCCTTCAAAAGATAGAGATTCTCAAATTGGGTATGGGTGGTTGGTTGCCTATAGCCCAGGGCAGCCTGCTATTTTTTTTAAAACAAGTGTCCTCATGATGTGATGAACACTGGGTGTTATACTATATGTTGGCAAATTGAATTTAAACAATAAAAAACAAAAAAAGGTAATTAAACAAGTGTCCTCAAAGAGAAACAATTCTTTATCACCTGGTATGGCTCATACCTGCCATGAATGATGTGTGGTTAATGTGTTTTCACAGTTTTCTCTCCACACATTTCATTTTGATTGCCTTATGCAAGGAAGGTGATATCATTAATGCCTTTATCTGATCCAGGTTTATAAAGGTTTCCTGTCAATGTCAAGTAGATAAGAATTCTGGATTATGGGCTTTTTCAGATTTCTCTTCTCAGTATAGTCATTTGGTTAACAAATACTTAATGAGCACCTACCTCACAGTCTGATGGAGGAGACAAGCAGCTGACGTAGAATTCAGATACATTAGGATAAATGGCCCATGGGGGAAGCAAGGTGCTCTGAGAGCACATAGGAAAGGCAGCATAAGGGTCAGGGAAGGCATCCTGGGGAAGCACTTTTGAGCTGGGAACCCAAAGAGAAGTAGGGTATAGGAAAGTGAAGGGGCTAAGAGGGCAGTAGGGACAAGGGAACAGGGTGAGTGCTGAATTTTGCAGCCAGAGCAGAAACTGGGCAGGGGATGAGGCTGGCAGAATGAGCACAGGTCAGAATATGAAGGAAGGAAGGACTATGAAAGAGGGCAGTGGGAACCATGGAAGCATCTGAAGCTTGGGGATGAGTAGGGTATAACTCAGTTACATTTATACTGTAGAAAGTTTCCATGAGTTAAGAAATGACCCTCCCAGGATCCCTGGGTGGCTCAGCAGTTTGGCACCTGCCTTTGCCCCAGGGCACGATCCTGGGGTCCCAGGATCGAGTCCCGTGTCGGGCTCCCGGCATGAAGCCTGGTTCTCACTCTGCCTGTGTCTCTGCTTTTCTCTCTCTTTGTCTATCATGAATAAATAGATCTTTAAAAATCTTTAAAAAATAAAAAAAGAAATGACCCTCCCTTGGTGGGAATGCAAACTAGTATAGCCACTCTGAAAAACAGTCTGGAGGTCCTCAAAAGGTCAAAAATAGCTATCCTACAACCCAGCATTTGCACTATAAGGTATTTGTCCAAGGGATATAAATTGAGTGATTCGTAGGGGGTGCATGTACCCCAATGTTTATAGAAGCAATGTCCACAATAGCTAAAATATATAAAGAATTGAGATGTCCTTTGACAGATGAATGGATAAAGAAGATGTGGTATATATATATATATATATATATATATATATATATATATATATATTTACTCAGCCATCAAATAGAATGAAATTTTACCACTTGAAATGATGTGGATAAAACTAGAGTGTATTATGCTAAGTCAAATAAGTTAGAGAAAGACACCATATGATTTCTCTCATTGTGGAATTTAAGAAACAAAACAGATGACCTAAGGGAATGTAAAACAGAGATAAGCAAACCATAAGAGACTCTTAACTATAGGAAACAAACTCAGGGTTGCTGATTAGGTAGGGAGTGGGGAGATGAGGTAACTGAGTGATGGGCATTAAGGAGGGTACTTCTTATAATGAGCACTGGGTGTCCTATACAACTGATGAGTCACTAAATTCTATCCCTGAAGCTAATAATACACTATATGTTAACTACATTGAATTTAAAAAAAAAAAAAAAAGAATCGACTCTCCCTATCTACCTCACTGCTTGTTGGTAAATACCCACCATTTGCTTCAACGTGGATGGAACTGGAGGGTATTATGCTGAGTGAAGTAAGTCAACCGGAGAAGGACAAAGATTACATGGTCTTATTCATTTGGGGAATATAAAAATAAGTGAAAGGGAATCAAGGGAAAGGAGAGACAATGAGTGAAAATATCAGCGAGGGTGATAAACCACGAGAGACACCTAACTCTGGGAAATGAACAAGGGGTAGTGAAAAGGGAGGTGGGGGCAGCCCCAGGTGGCTCAAGGGTTTAGCACAGCCTTCAGCCCAGAGCCTGATCCTGGAGACCTTGGTTCGAGTCCCAGTTGGGCTCCCTTAATAGAGCCTGCATCTCCCTCTGCCTGTGTCTCTGCCTCATTCTCTCTCTCTCTCTCTCTCTCTCTCTCTTTCTGTATCTCATGAATAAATAAATAAAATCTTAAAAAAAAGGAAAGGGAGGTGGGTAGGGGGTTGGGGTGATTGGGTGATGGGCACTGAGGGGGGCACTTGGTGGAATGAGCACTGAGTATTGTGCTAAATGTTGGCAAATTGAACTCCAATAAAAAATTAAAATAAAATATAACATTGAAACAGGTGAATGGCAATCCGAGATAGATTTCTAGGTAGATGGCCTAGCTATCCATAATCCAAGGGTTCCTTTTGATCATCTATAGAGAAGACTTATCAATTTGACTTCATCTTTCTGTCTTTCAATACCTCTGGCAACATTCCTAAAGTTCTCTCATAACCAAAGCTTGAGTAGGGAGGAGGGTGGGGGCCACGTGACTTTATTCTCTTCTCCACTACTCATTTCCAGGCCATTGCTGTGAATTCTATATCCAAAGCCTTGCTTCCCTTGAGGAGGGGACCATTTGAATAGCGTCAGAGGAGGGGGAAAGAAGAACCGCATGTGGTGTTCCTTCATTAAAATATTTTGCATCTTCAGACAATGGTTTGTGGGAGTTAAAAATAACTCCTTATGAAAAACTCATAGAGAGTTACAAGTGAGGGTTTTTTTTTAAAGACTTTATTTATTTATTCATAGACACACACAGAGAGAGGCAGAGACACAGGCAGAGGGAAAAGCAGGCTCCACACAGGGAGCCCAATGTGGGACTCGATCCCAGGTCTCCAGGATCACACCCTGGGCTGCAGGTGGCGCCAAACCGCTGTGGGGCTGCCCACAAGTGAGGGTTTAAATACAAGCTCAAAGCACAGACCTTGATCTCCAGGCTCATGGAATCTGACATTACAGATACTGCAGGTGTGTACAGAGCACAGTGTTGCCAGTGAGGAAACTGTCTGCAGAAGTGAGCTCACCTTCTCTCCTGGAGCCCAGAGAGGGAGAAGACAGAAGGAATTGTTTAGGTCATGAGCTACTGAGCTAGGTGACATTTTTTTTTCCCTGCCCATCACATTCTCATAACTGTGGACACAAAAACTGTAGTGAATTTTGCCTGGATACTTTGGGTGAGGTGTATTGAATGTCAGAATTCCCAAAACCACCTTCCTGGCTCCTCTCCCTTCTCAATTCTGGACGTGGGGTGGCTGCTACCCCCATTTCTCTAGCATTTCTTTCCCAGGCAGCCTGGTCCTCTCCTTCTTGCAGGTGGTTATGAAGTGCCCCTTCCTCCTCCCTCCTCTCTGTTCACAGCACCTCTGTGGGACTAGGTAGGGAAAGGGAGGGGTGGACTATACACTCTTGGCCATCAGTAGAGCTGAATGGATGAGGCAGAATGAGGGATAGGGGGCCAAAGTGCCATCTGATCTTGGCTAGGTGAGGTAGAGGCTAAGGATTTTAAGGCTGGAGGACCAATATTTGTATATTAAGAACAGATGATTTTTAAAAATGGGTCTGCAATTACAGTGAGGCCCACTAATCCATGAATTAATGTGTCATAACTCCTGCTCAAGCACAGCGCACACACCCCGCATGTGAATTATTGCACAATACATTCATGCCCCGCTGTGTCTTACAGCTTAATTAGTACATGAAGCTAGAGGTGTCAGACATACCCAAATTGGAATAAGTTATGTAGTATGTAAAAGAGCAGAATATTAGGGGGTGCCTGAGTGGCTTAGTTAGTTAAAAGGCTGCCTTGGACTCAGGTCATGGTCTCAGGGGCCTGGGATTGAGCCCTGCTTGGAGCTTCTTGCTCAGCAGGGAGTCAGTCTACTTCTGCCTTTCCCTCTACCCCTGCCCCCCTTTTGTGTATGTGTGTGTGCGCGTGCATGCACACGTGCATAGGAGTGCCCTCTCTCTCTCTTCAAATAAATAAATAAAATCTTTTTTAAAAAAAGCAGAATGTTGGAGATATTTGGTACTTGTTTCTGTAGGGAAAGCAGGGTTGATTTGTCTACGGTGTCCTTTAGAGTCAGTTTCTGTGATATTTGGGTTGCGACAGGTTACATGGGACTTCTGAGCTATGGTTGGTTGGTTTAGCACCATTGTTCAGTAAATATTTACCATTTACTTAGGCATTATGGAATGACAGCACGTACCAGATGAAATATGAAGCAGCATCTTTGAAGCCTGAGCAAAGGAAGTCAGCAGCCCCAACCCATTTCAGCTTAACTCAGCCTCACTGAATCAGATCACAGACTCTCTCCACTCTGGGCTTGCTACAGCGCTGATCATAGAATCCTCTTCGATTCCAGCTGAAATGCTGTGTCAGGCACTTCGCAGATTTGGTCAAAAGCTGGTGCGCAGACGAACATTGAAGCAAGATGTGACCCAGATCAGATATTTGAACACATTGGATTTAGTGACCCTGGGTGTGGGCCGCACAGTGGGTATAGGTGTATATGTCCTGGCTGGGGAGGTGATCAGTAATCAAGCAGGACCTTCAACTGTGATCTGCTTTTTGGTGGCTGGCCTAGCCTCGTTGTTGGCCGGGCTGTGCTATGCAGAGTTGAGTATCCGGATTCCTCATGCTGACTCTGCATATGTCTACACCTATGTCACTGTAGGTGAACTTGGTGCTTTTGTCACTGGCTGGAACCTCCTCCTCTTCCTTTTTGCTGATGCAGTTGTGTTGGCTTGGGTGTGGATGTTAATTTTTGACAACCTGCGTGGGGACCAGATATCTGAGACCCTGACTGAGAACATTTCATCATATGTTTCCCGTGTCTTTGAAAAATATCTAGGCTTCTTTGTTATGGGTTTTGTGTTCTTCCTCATTGATTTCCGGAATCTGTGGGTTTTGGGGTTTTCCCAGATTTCCAAATGGTTCACGTTGGTTAAAGTTTTCTTTCTCAGTTTTGTCATCATCTCTGGCATCATTAAGGGAGATCTGCGCAACTGGAAGCTCACAGAAGAGGACTACATGAAGGCTGGACTCAATGACACCTCTAGTTTGAGACCTCTGGGCTCTGGAGGATTCATGCCTTTTGGCTTCCAGGGGATTTTCCGTGGCGCAGCTACCTGCTTCTATGCTTTTGTTGGTTTTGACAACATTGTGACCAGAGGTAAAGTAGCCCAGAATCCCCAGCATTCTATCCCTATGAGCATTGTGATTTCACTGTTCATCAGCTCTTTGTTGTATTTTGGTATCTCTGCAGCCCTTACACTCATGGTGCCGTACTACCAGCTTCGACCTGGTAGCCCCTTGCCTGAGGTATTTCTCCATATTGGCTGGGTCCCTGCCTTCTATGTTGTATCTTTTGGATTTTTCTGTATTCTTTCTGCACGCATCTTAAACTTTACACTCCCCATATATAGTCATATAAACATGATGGCAGATGATGGCCTCCTATTCTATGCCCTTCCCAGGACCTATTTTGGCATAGTCACCCAGGTTGTGGTCATCGTGATCATTTGGGTTATTGTAGCAGTCATGACATTCTTCTTTGGACTCACTTATCTTGTGGACCTCAGTGCAGTTGGGTCCCTGATACCTCACTCTCTTGTTGCTATTTGTGTACTCATCCTCAGGTATCAGCCTGAGAGGAAGAATGAGGAAAACGAAGCACAGGTACTAGAGGAGAATGGACCTATGGCAGAGAAGCTGACTCTATCTAGACTATTTCTTCCGAACAGCTCCACCCCCACTCCACTCTCTGGCCAGGTTGTCTCTGTTTGCTCCTCACTGCTTGTTCTGCTGCTGACTCTGCTTTGCCTGGTGTTGACTCAGTGGCCAGGTCTGCTTTCTGGCGACCCAATGTGGATCACAGTGGTTGTGCTCCTCCTGGTACTCATCACTGGGATCACTGGGGTCATCTGGAGACAGCCACAGAGCTCCACTGCCCCTCTCTTTAAGGTACCTGGTCTGCCTTTCTTCCCACTCTTGAGCATCTTTCTGAATTTTTACCTAATGATGCAGCTGACAGCTGGCACCTGGGCCCTATTTGGTGCCTGGATGCTGATTGGGTTTGCTATCTACTTTGGCTATGGGATCCAGCACAGCCTGGTCACTTAACCCCACTGAAGTTAGGGCATGAACTTTAGACTTGAACTCAGCAGTGCCAGTACATATTTGGTTTGATATCATCACACTTGAATGCAGTATCATCCTCCTGCACAAAAAATGGAGAGTCCTCTTGAGCACATGGAAAGTTCGGCCTGCCATGGGATTTGGTGAGGGAGGACACTAATACAGCTCCGTATTGTGGAGTAAAGGATGTGTCTTTTGCTTTCTCCTCTTTTTTTTTTTAAATAACTTTTCTACTTTGCAGTTGTGTCTGTAGCTGCTTACTAGCTTTAAAACAATAATTATTAAAAGAAACTAGAAAATGTGTTTTTGTTTTCTTTGAGTAAATATCCAGTCGTCGAAATACTAAACCATATGGTAATTCTATTTCTAATTTTTTTTAGGAACCTGAACACAGTTTTCTGTAGTGGCTACATCAATTTACATTCATACCAACAGTGCATGATGCTTCCTTTCTTTCTATGTCCTAGCCAAGACTTGTTATTTCTTGTCTTTTTAATTTTAGCGATTCTGAGAAGGTAAAGTGATACTTCATAGTATTTTTAATTTGCATTTCCTTGATGATTAGTGATGCTGAGCATCTTTTCATGTACCTGTGGGTCCCTGCCCATTTTTTAAATGGATTTTTTTTGAGGTTGAGTTGTATAAGTTCTTTATATAGTTTGAATATTAAGCACTTATTAGATATATCTTTCGCAAATATTTTTTCCAATTTAGTAGGTAGCCTTTTGCATTTGTTGTAGGTTTCCTTTACTACTCAAAAGCTTCTTATTTACATGAATTTGGAAAGCTATATGCACACATAGGGCTATTTTAGCATTATATACAAGAGCCAGGATTGGAAGCAACCCATGTGTCCACAAATAGATGAATGGATAAAGAAGATGTGTTATGTGTAGATAATGTAATATTAATCAGCCATTGAAAAGAAAAATCTTGCCATTTATAACAACATGGGTAGACCTAAAGGGAATAATACTAAGTGAAACATGTCATTTAAAGGGAGACAAACACCATATGATTTCACTCATATGCAGAGTTCAGGAAATAAAACAAATGAACAAACAAAGGGGGAAACCTACTTCAGACTCTTAAATACAAGGAACAAACTGATGTTTGCCAAAGGGGAGGTGGGTGGGCCAATAAGGTAAAATAGATAAAAGGAATTAAATTTCCACTTACCTTGATGAAACCCTGAGAAATGTATGGAAATGTTGAATCATATTGTACACTTGAGAGTAATACAACAACACTGTATATTAGTTATACTTTAATTTGCTTCTATCAGCAAAATAGTGAAAGAGTAGTTAGTGGTCCTCATTTCATCTGGTCCCTTTAATTTAGTTGGATAACTATCAAATCATCCTGAACATCTATGAATTCAATCTGAGATGTAAGAAAAGAAAGGTTGGAAATGTACAAATAGAAAAGTGACCACTTTTTGCAAGGTGGGAGTGCAGAGAAGAGAAACGGAGGGGATATACCAGAAGATAAATGGTGGGGGAAAGGAGCCTCTGTGAATCGGCTACCAAGAAGTGATATATAGCCCTGGAGCTCAAAATACGGACCTTTAGAGCTTTGCTCGAGAAAAGGACTTCTCTGCCTGAAAGGTGCTCAGGGGAAGTGGGGTAGAATCCCAGGTGGGACAATGTGGTTCGAGATCCCCAGAGGCACTGAAAGAACAGGGACTCCAGAGCGACAAAATTCCCAAGCATTGTAGCCAGGAAATTGGTTTAGTTTAGAAGCCCAAGAGGGGGCTTTCAGCCCCAGTTGCCATAAACCACCAACTGTGACCCAATTGGATGACAGTTCTCTGTGTTGGGACCCTGCAAAGGACTGGAATACATATTTGTATATATATGTTTATTTATTTATTCATTTATTTATTTATTTAATTTATTTACTTCTTTATACTTTTAGAATTTAGTATCTTCTAGAAATAAACCAAAATATACAAATACACTCAGGACCAAGTGGATCACCCTGTTTTGTCCACTCTGTGAGATTATATTCCCCCTTTTTTCTTTTTCTTTTTCTTTTTCTTTGTCTTTTTCTTTTCCTTTCTGGTTTTTGACCCTTCAGATTTGTCTACTCTGTGTTTTGCTTGAGTCATGGTTGATATTTTTGATTCAGTTCCCTTTTTCTTCCACTATTCACTGGACAAAATGACTAGAAGGAGATTCACAACAAAAGAATGAATCAAGGTAATACTCTCTGCGACAGATCTAATGGATATGGATTTAAGTAAAATGTCAGAAATGGAGTTCAGAATAACGATTATAAAGTTACCAGCTGGGCTTGAAAAAAGCATAGAAGACTTCAGATAATCTGTTAGATTAATCTCTTCAGAAATAAGATCTAATCAGGCCATAATTAAAAATATTCTGAGATGCAGGCTATATTGGATGCTTTAACAGACAGAGTAAATGAGGCAGAAGAGAGAATAAGTGACATAGAAGACAAATTAATGGAAAGGAAGGAAGCGGGGATCCCTGGGTGGCACAGCAGTTTAGCGCCTGCCTTTGGCCCATGGCGCCATCCTGGAGACCTGGGATCGAATCCCACGTTGGGCTCCCGGTGCATGGAGCCTGCTTCTCCCTCTGCCTATGACTCTGCCTCTCTCTCTCTCTCTCTCTCTGACTATCATAAATTAAAAAAAAAAAGGAAAAGGAAGGAAGCTGAGGAAAAGAGAGAAAAAACCAACTGATAGCACATGAGGAGAGGCTCCAAGAGATAAATGGTGTGGGATGCCTAGGTGGCTCAGTGGTTAGGCATCTACCTTCAGCTCAGGGCATGATCTTGGGGTCCTAGGATCAAGTCCTGTGTTGGGCTCCCTGCATGGAGCCTGCTTCTCCCTCTACCTATGTCTCTGTCTCTCTCTTTCTGTGTCTCTTATGAAAAAATAAATAAAACAAAAGAGATGAATGATGCCATGAAGAGAAACAAATCAGAATTATTGGAGTGCCCAAGGGTACAAAGAGAGAGAGAGAGAGAGAGCGCCAAAAGTATATTTGAGGAAATAATAGCTGAGAATTTCCCTAATCTGGGGAAGGAAACATGCTTTCATATCCAAAAGGTAGAGAGGACCCTTCCCAAAATCAATAAAAAGAGAAGAAGATCCTGATATGTAATAGTTAAGCTTGTGAATTTCAGAGATAAGGAGAAAATCCTGAAAGCAGTTCCAGACAAGAGATTCCTAACATATAGGGGGAAAAGTATGAGATTGACAGCAGACCTATCCACAGAGACCTGGTAGGCCCAAAAAGGGTGGCATGATATATTCAGGGTACTAAATGAGCAAAGCACACATCCAAGAATACTTTCTTCAGCAAGGCTGTCATTCAGAATGGAAGGAAAAACAAAGAGCTTCCAGGACAGACAGGAATTGTAAGAATATGAGACCACCAAGCCAGCCCTGCAAGAATTATTAAGGGGGATCCTTTAAGCGAAGAGAGAGCCCAAGAATAACCTAGATAAGAAACACAATCTATAGGAGCAGGGACTTTACAGATAATACAATGGCACTCAATTTATATCTTCCAACAGTTACTCTGAATGTAAATGGGCTAAATGCTCCAATCAAAAGACAAAGGTATCGGACGGGATTAAAAACAAAACAAAACAGGACCCATCCATATGCTGTCTGCAAGAGACTCATTTTAGACCTAAAGACATCTTCAGACCGAAAATGAGGGAGTGGAGAACTATTTACCATGCAAATGGACCTCAAGAAAGCTGGGGTAGCAATCCCCATATCATATAGATTAGATTTTAATCCAAAGACTATAGTAAGAGATAAAGAGGGAGAGCATATCATAATTAAAGGTTCTATCGAACAAGAAGATCTAACAATTATAAATATTTATGCTCCCAATTTGGAGCAATTACATCAAGGAATTAATAACCAAATAAAGAAATACGTTAATAATAACACAATCATAGTAGGGGAGTTCAACATCCCACTCACAGCAATGAACAGATCATCTAAGCAGAAGATCAACAAGGAAACAAGGGCTTTGAATGACACACTGGACCAGATGGACTTCACAGATATATATGGAGCATCCCATCCTAATGCAATAGAATACACATTCTTTTCAAGTGCACTTGGAACAATCTCCAGAATAGATCACATGCTGGGTCAAATATCAGGTCTTAACCACTACCAAAAGATTGGGATCATTTCCTGCATATTTTTAGGCCACAATAATTTGAAACTTGAACTCAATTACAACAGAAAATTTGGAAGGAACTCAAACACTTGGAGGTTAAGAGCACCCTACTAAAGAATGAATGTGCCAATTATTAAAGAAGAATTTAAAAGATTAATGCAAACAAATGAAAATGAAAGCACAACTGTTCAAAAACTTTGGAATACAGCAAAGACAGTCCTAAGAGGGAAGTACCTTGCAATATAAGCCTCTCTCAAAAAATTAGAAAAATCTCAAATACAAAAGCTAATATTACACCTAAAGCAGCTGGAGAAAGAATAGCAAATAAAGCTTAAGCCAAGCAGGAGAAGAGAAATAATAAAGATTAGAGCAGAAATCAATGAAATAGAAACAGGAAGAACAGTAGACTAGAGCAACAAAACTAGAAGCTGGTTCTTTGGAAGAATAAGATACATAAACCCCCTAGCTAGAACCTGCCCCCAAAACAAAAGTCCAGGGCCAGATGGCTTTCCAGGGGAATTCTACCAAACATTCAATACATATTCTATGGAAGTTGTTTCAAAAAAAATAGAAATGGAAGGAAAAACTCATTCTATAAAGCCAGCGTTATCTAGATCCCAAAACCAGGTAAAGACCCCATCAAACAGAGAGGAGGGGCAAGATGGCGGAAGAGCAGGGTCCCCGAATCACCTGTCCCCACCAAATTACCTAGATAACCTTCAAACCATCCTGAAAATCTACGAATTCAGCCTGAGATGTAAAGAGAGACCAGCGGGAACGCTACAGTGAGAAGAGTTCGCGCTTCTATCAAGGTAGGAAGACGGGGAAAAAGAAATAAAGGAACAAAAGGCCTCCAAGGGGGAGGGGCCCCGCGAGGAGCCGGGCTGAGGCCGGGGCGAGTGTCCCCAGGACAGGAGAGCCCCGTCCCGGAGGAGCAGGAGCTGCACCAACCTTCCCGGGGGGAAAGGGGCCAGCAGGGAGTTGGAGCAGGACCCAGGAGGGCGGGGATGCCCTCGGGCTCCCGGGGACACTAACAGGCACCTGCGACCCGGGGAGAGTGCACCGAGCTCCCTAAGGGCTGCAGCGCGCACGGCGGGGCCCGGAGCAGCTCGGAGGGACTCGGGAGCAGCTCCACGGAGGGAGCTGCGGGGCGGGAGCACGAATCCAACAGCGCAGGCCCCGGAGCACAGGGCACCGGGACACAGCCCAGGATCCGTCCGCCCCCCCCCCCCCCCCCGGACAGGCAGCGGCTGGGAGGGCCCAGGACAGCAAGGACACTCCTGCCCCCGAGCTGAGCACATCAGCGGCCCCGCCCCGGAGCCTCCAGGCCCTGCAGACGGAGAGCCCCGTAGTTCCTGCGGAGGCTGAATCCAGGCTTCCAGAGCTGCCACAGCAACTGCGGCTGTTCCTCCTGCGGCTGAGCCCTGCAGCAGGCAGGGGCAGAGCAGCTCCCCCAAGTGCTAACACCTGAAAATCAGCACAGCAGGCCCCTCCCCCAGAAGACCAGCTAGACGGACAAGTTCCAGGGGAAGTCAAGGGACTTAAAGTCTACAGATTCAGAAGATACTCCCTCGTGTTTTTTTTTTTTGTTTTTTTTTTCTTTTTTCTTTTCTTTTTGATTTCTGATTGCTTCCCCATCCCCCCTTTTTTCACCTTTCTTTCTTTTTCTTTCTCTTTTTCTTCTCTTTTTTCTTCTTTTTCTTTTTTCTTTTTCTCTTTTCTTTCCTTTTCTCTCTTTCTCTCCTTTTCCCAATACAACTTGTTTTTGGCCACTCTGCACTGAGCAAAATGACTAGAAGGAAAACCTCACCTCAAAAGAAAGAATCAGAAACAGCCCTCTCTCCCACAGAGTTACAAAATCTGGATTACAATTCAATGTCAGAAAGCCAATTCAGAAGCACTATTATACAGCTACTGGTGGCTCTAGAAAAAAGCATTAAGGCCTCACGAGACTTCATGACTGCAGAATTTAGATCCAATCAGGCAGAAATTAAAAATCAATTGAATGAGATGCAATCCAAACTAGAAGTCCTAATGACGAGGGTTAACGAGGTGGAAGAATGAGTGAGTGACATAGAAGACAAGTTAATAGCAAAGAGGGAAACTGAGGAAAAAAGAGACAGACAATTAAAAGACCATGAAGACAGATTAAAGGAAATAAATGACAGCCTAAGGAAGAAAAACCTACGTTTAATTGGGGTTCCCGAGGGCGCCGAAAGGGACAGAGGGCCAGAATATGTATTTGAACAAATCCTTGCTGAAAACTTTCCCAATCTGGGAAGGGAAACAGGCATTCAGATCCAGGAAATAGAGAGATCCCCCCCTAAAATCAATAAAAACCGTTCAACACCTCGACATCTAATAGTGAAGCTTGCAAATTCCAAAGATAAAGAGAAGATCCTTAAAGCAGCAAGAGACAAGAAGTCCCTGACTTTCATGGGGAGGAATATTAGGGTAACAGCAGACCTCTCCACAGAGATGTGGCAGGCCAGAAAGGGCTGGCAGGATATATTCAGGGTCCTAAGTGAGAAGAACATGCAACCAAGAATACTTTATCCAGCAAGGCTCTCTTTCAAAATGGAAGGAGAGATAAAGAGCTTCCAAGACAGGCAGGAACTGAAAGAATATGTGACCTCCAAACCAGCTCTGCAAGAAATTTTAAGGGGGACTCTTAAAATTCTCCTTTAAGAAGAAGTCCAGTGGAACAATCCACAAAAACAAGGACTAAATAGATATCATGATGACACTAAACTCATATCTGTCAATAGTAACTCTGAACGTGAACGGGCTCAATGACCCCATCAAAAGGCGCAGGGTTTCAGACTGGATAAAAAAGCAGGACCCATCTATTTGCTGTCTATAAGAGACTCATTTTAGATGAAGGACACCTACAACCTGAAAATAAAAGGTTGGAGAACCATTTACCATTCAAATGGTTCTCAAAAGAAAGCAGGGGTAGCCATCCTTATATCAGATAAACTAAACTTTACCCCGAAGACTGTAGTGAGAGATGAAGAGGGACACTATATCATACTTAAAGGATCTATCCAACAAGAGGACTTAACAATCCTCAATATATATGCCCCGAATGTGGGAGCTGCCAAATACTTAAACCAATTATTAACCAAAGTGACGAAATACTTAGATAATAATACATTTATACTTGGTGACTTCAATCTAGCTCTTTCTACCCTCGATAGGTCTTCTAAGCACAACATCTCCAAAGAAACGAGAGCTTTAAATGATACACTGGACCAGATAGATTTCACAGATATCTACAGAACTTTATATCCAAACTCAACTGAATACACATTCTTCTCAAGTGCACATGGAACTTTCTCCAGAATAGACCACATACTGGGTCACAAATCGGGTCTGAACCGATACCAAAAGATTGGGATCGTCCCCTGCATATTCTCAGACCATAATGCCTTGAAATTAGAAATAAATCACAACAAGAAGTTTGGAAGGACATCAAACACGTGGAGGTTAAGGACCATCCTGCTAAAAGACAAAAGGGTCAACCAGGAAATTAAGGAAGAATTAAAAAGATTCATGGAAACTAATGAGAAGGAAGATACAACTGTTCAAAATCTTTGGGATGCAGCAAAAGCAGTCCTGAGGGGGAAATACATCGCAATACAAGCATCCATTCAAAAACTGGAAAGAACTCAAATACAAAAGCTAACCTTACACATAAAGGAGCTAGAGAAAAAACAGCAAATGGACCCGACGCCCAGCAGAAGAAGAGAGTTAATTAAAATTCGAGCAGAACTCAACGAAATTGAGACCAGAAGAACTGTGGAACAGATCAATAGAACCAGGAGTTGGTTCTTGGAAAGAATTAATAAGATAGATAAACCATTAGCCAACCTTATTGAAAAGAAGAGAGAGAAGACTCAAATTAATAAAATCCTGAAGGAGAAAGGAGAGATCACTACCAACACCAAGGAAATACAAACGATTTTGAAAACATATTATGAACAGCTCTACGCCAATAAATTAGGCAATCTAGAAGAAATGGACGCATTCCTGGAAAGCCACAAACTACCAAAACTGGAGCAGGAAGAAATAGAAAACCTGAACAGGCCAATAACCAGGGAGGAAATTGAAGCAGTCATCAAAAACCTCCCAAGACACAAGAGTCCAGGGCCAGATGGCTTCCCAGGGGAATTCTATCAAACGTTTAAAGAAGCAATCATACCTATTCTACTAAAGCTGTTTGGAAAGATAGAAAGAGATGGAGTACTTCCAAATTCATTCTATGACGCCAGCATCACCTTAATTCCAAAACCAGACAAAGACCCCACCAAAAAGGAGAATTACAGACCAATATCCCTGATGAACATGGATGCAAAAATTCTCAACAAGATACTAGCCAATAGGATCCAACAACACATTAAGAAAATTATTCACCATGACCAAGTAGGATTTATCCCCGGGACACAAGGCTGGTTCAACACTCATAAAACAATCAATGTGATTCATCATATCAGCAAGAGAAAAACCAAGAACCACGTGATCCTCTCATTAGATGCAGAGAAAGCATTTGACAAAATACAGCATCCATTCCTGATCAAAACTCTGCAGAGTGTAGGGATAGAGGGAACTTTCCTCGACATCTTAAAAGCCATCTACGAAAAGCCCACAGCAAATATCATTCTCAATGGGGAAGCACTGGGAGCGTTTCCCCTAAGATCAGGAACAAGACAGGGATGTCCACTCTCACCACTGCTATTCAACATAGTATTGGAAGTCCTAGCCTCAGCAATCAGACAACAAAAAGACATTAAAGGCATTCAAATTGGCAAAGAAGAAGTCAAACTCTCCCTCTTCGCCGATGACATGATACTCTACATAGAAAACCCAAAAGCCGCCACCCCAAGATTGCTAGAACTCATACAGCAATTTGGTAGCGTGGCAGGATAGAAAATCAATGCCCAGAAATCAAAGGCATTCCTATACACTAACAATGAGACTGAGGAAAGAGAAATTAAGGAGTCAATCCCATTTACAATTGTACCCAAAAGCATAAGATACCTAGGAATAAAGCTAACCAAAGAGGTAAAGGATCTATACCCTAAAAACTATAGAACACTTCTGAAAGAAATTGAGGAAGACACAAAGAGATGGAAAAATATTCCATGCTCATGGATTGGCAGAATTAATATTGTGAAAATGTCAATGCTACCCAGGGCAATCTACACGTTTAATGCAATCCCTATCAAAATACCATGGACTTCCTTCAGAGAGTTAGAACAAATTATTTTAAGATTTGTGTGGAATCAGAAAAGACCCCGAATAGCTAGGGGAATTTTAAAAAAGAAAACCATATCTGGGGGCATCACAATGCCAGATTTCAGGTTGTACTACAAAGCTGTGGTCATCAAGACAGTGTGGTACTTGCACAAAAACAGACACATAGATCAATGGAACAGAATAGAGAACCCAGAAGTGGACCCTGAACTTTATGGTCAACTAATATTCGATAAAGGAGGAAAGACTATCCACTGGAAGAAACACAGTCTCTTCAATAAATGGTGCTGGGAAAGTTGGACATCCACATGCAGAAAAATGAAACTAGACCACTCTCTTTCACCATACACAAAGATAAACTCAAAATGGATGAAAGATCTAAATGTGAGACAAGATTCCATCCAAATCCTAGAGGAGAACTCAGACAACACCCTTTTTGAACTCGGCCACAGTAACTTCTTGCAAGATACATCCACGAAGGCAAAAGAAACAAAAGCAAAAATGAATTGTTGGGACTTCATCAAGATAAGAAGCTTTTGCACAGCAAAGGATACAGTCAACAAAACTAAAAGACAACCTACAGAATGGGAGAAGAGATTTGCAAATGACGTATCAGATAAAGGGCTAGTTTCCAAGATCTATAAAGAACTTCTTAAACTCAACACCAAAGAAACAAACAATCCAATCATGAAATGGG